TATATATATATATTATATATTACAGCAACGTCACAACACATCCAATTTCTGACACGTGACCTCTGGAGGCATCGTTAAGCATCGGATTCTGGAGATCATTGGAGGGAGAGGAGGGGACGTGGGAGAAAGTTTGGAAAGGAGTGAGAGGAGGCAGAAACTGAATGAGAGGGACAAAGCTTAGCGGTCTTGGAGGAGAGGAGGATACTCAAAGAAAAACTACAGACCTGAACCGCAGCAGCACTTGCCTCTCTCTCTCTCTGTACGCTTATGGCTTCTGGGCTTTCTCAGTCGTAATCTCCTGGTTGTGTGATAAAGCGCTCGAGTGGAGGTAACGGGTCCTGAACATGAGGCGGCTGAAGGAGACTGCGCTCTGCGCGATAGTGCCGCTGCTTCTCTCTCTGTGCACAACGACGCATGCAGGTAAAGTAGCCTACATTTCAACTTAAAACAATAGTTTTTAACAGTGCTTTTTTGTTCTTAACATTTTCAGAATTTGAAAGCTTAAGTTAGCACATACTTATTTCCTGTGCACTTGTTACAGATGCGGCTGCGAGTCAATAACCCGTGTTTTAGAGAAGTTGCCCAAAGTGTTTTGTTATGGTGTGAATTTGCGTCGCGTGTCACTTGGAGTTTTTTTTATTTTTATATATTTTTTTTTACCTTAATCGTTTTATAACGAGCTCTCATTAATGTGGAGGAAGCTTGAGATAAATGTTGAATATGTACCGCCGGTTTGAACTTGTTCATTGAGGTTAAGGATGACTGACAGCCACATACGCTTTTAAGTTTCCTAAAAGGCCGGTTTCCAACACACTTTACTTTAGTTTAGACTGTATGTTTATTTTTCCGTGATTTATTCGGTGCTTTGCAGCTGTGTTTAGTATTTAAACATAGATTACAGCTTATTTAAAAAATGTATATAGATTTGGAATCTTTTCTTATAATGAAACCTGCCTTTTTAACTGAGTTTGGGAGTTTTCGGTCATCAGTTTTTCGTGATAATCAAATTTACATGCTCAAAAATGTTTGCCATCCCCATCTCGACCCTACCTAACTCCCCCCTCTTTTCATGTGAACAATTTCAGCGTTTGATGCTTCGTTGTGTGAAATGTAGGTCTATACAGCGTCTGCACAATTTTTCCATTAGAAATACATTGGGAATTGTGTTACAACCCTCCTTGTCCTATTTTTTTCAACGGATTTTGGTTATATTTCAAATAAAACACACAAACTTGCTGATTCAAATAATGTAGTTAAAAATAAAGTTGGATAAATGCGTCTGCTAAATGACTAAATGACTAAATAATGAAAATGTAGTTCTGTCAATTGACATCCATTAACTATGTAATACACAAAGTAATACAAAGTAATACATTAATTGTCACCTTAGGAGCGTGGTGGTCATGTGTGACAGTGATTTCACCCCCTCTAATAGCTTTAACTGATGGTGTTACAATCCACAACACTTCCCATGATACTCTGTTTTTCTATTATAGCCATTTTAATTGCTTTCACAACTCTTTTGTCTTTAGAATGCTCTATTATGTTAAAATCATTGCTCAGGTTTAGTTACCTCACTCGCATATATGGAATAGTCAAGGAAGGAAATTCTCCAGCAGACTGTCATGTCATGTTTGAGTTTGCATGTGACCCATGTCGGTTTGCTGTGAAACATTTTAACGTTGACTTGAGATATAGGTGAATGAGTGCTTACTGACCATCTCCAGTAGATTCAAATTCCTCTTGGGCAGTTGGCCGAATTTGTTATTGTACAAATGTAGCATATATGTCAACACCATAACCCAGAGCAGACTGCATAGATCTGAACTCATAGATAAAACTTGTTTTGATGTCAAAAATATTGGTGTGCCCTACATTATTAATTTATTATTTATGCAAAAATGGTGTTGGTATTTTATGTACGTGATAAGCATGAAAAGTATCAAACGATGCATTACCTACTCATGCTGCTATGTTTAGTGTGAAAAGGTCAGTGGGATGTTTACAGTGATTATATATAGAGCATATAATCACTGCATTTTCTGAGCGTATTGTAGTGCAGGGTTATTATAGTAAACTAAAACTGAAACTAAAATTAAAACTGTTACTTGAAATAAAATAAAAGTAACTGAAATAAAATAAAATATTATAAAATATTATATTTTTATTCATCTAGTTGCAAAGGCAACATTTCTCATTTTAATGTAGTTTAACTTGATGTACTAAAATAACAAAAACTGAAATTAAAATGAATATGGACATAAAAAACTACTAAAAATTAGGAAAAAACACAACAAAACTACTAGAAATCTGACAAATTAAAATGAAAATGGAAAATATAAAGTAAAATCTGATTCAAAATATTAATACAAATTATAATAGTATCTCAATGATACTAAAATAACAGTGCATCTAAGTTTCTGATGCTCACATGTCCTTTAAAGTGAGGCGTACAACCTATATAGGCTTATACATTTTTTTTCAATGAAACCTGCAAATAATATTTTAGAATTTTCAAAAATGAATCGAAGAAACATTATGATATAAAAGAGATATTTATTATTTCTAGATCACTAATGAACTAAGCAAAGTGACATTAGATCATGTGACTCCTTGCGGAGAACAAGTTAGAGTGCTAATGCTATTAAAGCAAAAAGAGGAAATAGGTAAATAAGTAAATTTTATAATTGCAATGAATTCATTGTATATGTTGATCAGGTCAGATAAGTTTGACTTCATTTCAGTATGATGTGCTTCTGCAGAGAAGATGTGAGATGTGCAGTCACAGTGGTATCACTCCTGTCTGGTGCAGCAGGGGATTCTGATATGACGGAGCAGGATGTGGTTAGTTGAGTCAGCTGTCGGGTATTTGATTGCCCCGAGAAAGTCTGGCGTTAGTTTCATGTGTTTAACTGTAGGACTTTGTAGCCACAGTGTGTTGTCATGTCTGACGTGGTGAACATAGGCATTTTTTCTGTTTGGGATTCTTTCCTCCCCATATTTATATCCAGTCTATCTGTCCCATCTTCTTCAAAGGCCTTGAGTTTTAAGTGCTGTGGAAGGACTATTTCTAATGTTGCATCTTCTCTTTATGGTTATCACATCTGGCTCGTCCATGCCTGGTCCTTGCCATCCTCGTTCCTCACCTTTCACACGGCCTGCTTGGAAACTCATGCAGCATAGCAGCCATGCATGTTCCTTTTGATCCCACTGAACAAACAAATACATGAAACAGTATGGATGGGAATATTTAAAGACAAGAGGCCAATGAGGATGGGAGATTCCACTCAAAAGAGCCCTTTCTTTCTCTAAACAGACATGCCTCCCTGCTGCTGAGGAACTTGGGCCATCAGTGCTGCTGTGCGAAATGTGTCCTCCATCCAGAAACAATACAAACATCTGGCTCACAGAAGCAGAGCTCCATCCTCTTTTCTATATGGCCTTATACTGTATTTTGTATCAAAGGCTTTATGATCCTTCAAGAGGACCGATGTCCTCATTTACATCATTATACCCATGTAAACCTCTCCTCTCCTGCTGCTTTCCACCAAAGTCCCCAAGTCAGTTACTTTGCGGCCATATTTGTAACCACCCGGGAATCTATTTCTATTCATGCAAGAGCAGCTCTTATCTGTTTGGATGGGGGAAGACTGTTGATCAAAGGTTATGATCCAATAACATATTTCAAATCAGAAATAAAATCTTAAATCAATGGTAAAATTTGTATTTACAGGCTAGCCCAGTTAATGCTCGTTCTAGAGCAGGGGTGTCCAAACCTGTTCCTGGAGGGCCACTGTCCTGCAAGGTTTAGCTCCAACCCCAAATAAATAAACCTAAAACCAGTTAATCAAGGTCTTCAGACTCACTCTGCAGGACATTGGCCCTCCACGAGCAGGATTGGACACCCTTGTTCTAGAATAAAGTAACCTGCAGTTGGTTGTTGGGACAAAGACAAAAAACATTTCCACTCTTTTAATTGACAATAGTAATACCCTGTTTGATCTGATTCTGAAATTGTGAAATTTTCAAATTTCACTTGATTGCCATTGGTGGATCAATTAGACAATCAAAGATTTCTGCACTAGTGACACCAAAGGGATCTGCAAAAATTGCCAAACACTCCAAACTCCAGTCTTACATGTTTGAGGTTGAGTCAGACATATTGCCCTGACCTGAAATCACACCATTGGTTGAGTCAATGTTGAGCCACTAATACAAAAGCAATATTGAAAAAAAAAATCAACCTACGAATGGCTTAAGGTGTGGTCACATTAGCAAAATTTAATGGGCAAAAAGATCCATTTTCTATTTTTAGTAGTGTAGCATGGCTGTATGAAGCACAGCTCACACAGAAGTCACTTTCAAACCAAGCAGCTTTCTGCTGGTCAACATGGCAAATCCATGTGATCCAACTTGAACCCACTGTGAGAGGAAACCTTTTACCCTCTCAAGGAATTCCAGATCATGTGGATACTTATTGAAATGACTAGCTTTCACCTATGAAAATTCGCTGAACAGTGGTAAATGTGACTGCACCTTTAGTTACAGTTCCTGTACATTATTTAAAGCTTAGAGACTGCATAATGCAAAGCTCTGTCTGTCTTAGACTGGGAGGGTTTGTGTGTTTAATGTGTATATTGGGGTGGGGGACAGCAGTGTTCAGCGAGGGACAGAGGGATGCAGGTGTTACCTTTGTGGACCTGCTTACAGTGGGCCATGCTGGATGTCTCACTGTGAGCAAATATCACAGAACAAACTTTACAGGCAGAGTAATGTGAGACTGATGTGTAATGATGCTCAGCTCCTTGGCACAATAGTGCCGTCCACTCAGCAGTTCCCAGACTGTAAGTACGCTGGATACAGTATCCCACAGTGCTCCACAGCACCGTATCTAAGCCCACATACTGCTCCCACTGCCATCAAAATCACACTACAGAAATGGACGATTCTGCAACTGAGAAGCCAAACTCCCTGTTTCTTTATTTTCAGCTGAGAATCTGGTTGCATGTTGCGGGAAATGGTGTGGTATTAAACAATCTCGTTCTGTCCAAACTTTGGGTTTAGTGGAGCGTGACTCCTAGAGGGAAAGAGTTCGCTGCTGCGGTGGGGCAGCTTCCAGATTTTTCTAACAGCATCCAGCCACCATTCTGAACGACTTCCAAACATCAAATCTCAATCACGTTTATGCTCCAAGCATTCAAAATTTGTGCATGTTTCATTTAGCGTTCATCCATCTGGGAGATCTCAGTTGATTACTTCCACGCATAAAGCCACCATCCTACGCTTTCTTAGAAAAGTTTGAACAAATGAAAGAGTATGTTGAAAGACAAACTAGGTGAAATAGGATCGGACACCACACAGAAGGAAATCTGAGATTTGAACTGTGTTTTGGGCTTGTCTAATGTGGAAAGAGTGTTAAC